GAAAGAGGGCTCTTAAGTACACATAGCCCCTAACGCACAGGCTAGATAGCCAACGTTTTAGGCAACCTAATTCAGCTGTACGCGTGTACAGACGCAGCCGTACATATGTACAGACACATAGAGATATTAAAGGTAACATTATAAAATAAAACTAGCTGTTGAATAGGCTCTGACAGCTAGCTGCTTATAGTATAAGCACTTAAGTAGCAAGAGTAAGAGTGGTGTACAGTGTGCACAGCGTACAAAGTAGGTAAAGTAAGGGTAACATGTTTCTAGTTCTATTACTCTTGTCTTTCCTTTATATAGAGGAAAAGGGGGATATTTAGATGTTTGCGCACAGAGGTTTGCGCACAAGCATTATGTAACATAGATATGTGGTCCTGCTTATGCGCAATTGCTTATATCTAGATTGTAACACTACTGCTGTGTATAGACACTAGTAACTTTTCTTTTTATCTAAAGAGTTACTTTTTATATGTGTTACCTTTCTTCTGTCTATGTAAGTTTATTTAATTATGTTTTACTTTTACTTTACTTTATTTATTAAGACTTGCCTTAGTAATGCTATATATTAAGATAAGCTAGTTACACTATATAAATAGCTTTATAAATAGTGTAAAGTGTTTTAAGCTATTATTATCTAGCTTTTATGCACTTACTTTATAAGTAATTTAGCAGTGTATAAACTGTTTTATATAAAGTTTTATGCTAGAATAGTGTAGAATCTTTGTGTAGGCAGGTGTGTAAAGAGGTGTATATAATAAGGTCTTCTTTTTTTTTTTTACTTTTTTTTCTTTATTCTTTACTTTTTAAGCTTTACTGTACTATTCTCTAGCTCTTTTTTCTTTTTATATAGTGCTAACAGTGACAGATACTTCTGCCTGCACACACACACACACACACACACACACACACACAGAGAGAGAGATGTCTCTCTAGCCTTCCTCTTCTACCTCTAGCGCTGTTAGTGCGGGCGTTTTTAACATCCTTGTGCAGTTTAGCAGCCTAAGGCGCATCTATGTTACCCTTTTAACTAGTTTTACTACTAATTAGTAGTTTATTTAGTGTTTTAGCATAAATATATAAATTTTTTAGCTCTTTTACTTTTTTCTTATATAAAATGCTAATTATAGATAAGCTAAGAAGCAGCATGTAGTAGCTTTACTATTTTATAATATTAATGTTATCTTACTTACTAGCACTAATCTGCAGCTGTAGGCAGCAAAGGTTATATATTATAAAAGGTACTTTTATGCAGTTTTTGTCTAAAGTTATAGTTAAGTTTTAGTAACTTTATATACTTATTATTATAGTAGCACTACTAGTGCCTTTTTTTTTTATTAAGTGTTATGTGTTAGCTAACTTCTAGGCTAATGCCTGCGCTTTATGCGTATAGTAGAGCTGTAGTCTGCATTGTAACTACTATATGTAAGAGGTAGTGGCTTTTTCTTCTTTTATATACTAGATAAATAGACTATTTTTTTTACATATCCTTCTCTTTTAATCTTGTAATAAGAAAAATAAGTGCGTACAATAAAAAAATAAAAGAGATAGGCTTTATATAAAGGCGTTGTTAGTCTAGTTAGTTTAGAGCATCTTTGCGCACAGAATCTAGCTAGTCTATAGATGCTTTTATCTAGACAGAGAGGTAGTTAGTTAAAACTAATAATTAAAGAGCCTAGTTTAGTGTTTTTTTTATATATACATTTACTAAGTTATTTTTACTATTAATTTACTTTATTTTAGTAATTTCCTTTTTCTTATATAATTTATAGAGTAACATAATATTAATTATAAGTTACTTTTTACTAGTAGTGCTTAGCTTAATAAGGCAATTATATAAAAACCTTAAATCTATGTAAATTACTACTAAGATTAGTAGTAGTTTAAGTGTTTATATAATTTACTATAAAGTTATACTAAAAGTAATTACATTATTAAACTTTCTAACTATTCTATATAGTTTACTAGTAAAAACACTTCTAGTTACTTTTTTACACTTAGTAGAATTCTAGTGTATAATGTTACCTAGTATTTTAAAGTAGTTACTTTACTTTATACAGTTCTTATTACTTAATATAATTAAGAATTCTAGCTATAAGCTAAGGTTTTTATTATTAGTAAATAATCTATCTATAAAAATAAACAGCTTTGCATAATTAAGTTATAATAGTAAGAAAGTAAGACTGTGCTTACTATTATCTATTTACTATTAAATTTATGTGTTAAGTGTGTTAATGTTATTATGCAAAGAGTCTATAGTTTATGTAGTAATAAAAAGGTTAAATGCTGCCTCTAGTTAACACATAAATATAATATATGCTTCTCTTATATATTACTTAACATATTATTATGCAGCATCTTTGTCTTTTAAGTTAATTATATAAAGGTAGCTTACTTATCTTTTCTAAGTAAGAACTACTATGTTGTGTATAAGTTTAATCTTTTTACTATTAAACTTAATAAGCTGCTTCTTTACTAAGATAGTTTTACTTTTTATATAAAACTTTACTTTTTATAGTTTTTCCTTTTCTTTTTACACAAAATCCTTTGTTATAATGCTTAAGGTGTTATATAAATACTTCTAGTTATTTCTAGAGCCTATATTATGCATATAGTGCATATTTGCCTAACCTTTTAAAATATCTAGAAAGATGTTTATATACTAAGTTTCCTAGATATCTAGCTGTTAATATAAATTAATAAAAATCTTTATTTTATTTATAAAAATGTTATATAGTTAACTTATATAGTTATTATTTTTCTTTTATACTTTTTAGAATTATATAATTTTATCTACTAAAAGTTTTTCTTTAGCAGTTTCCCTCTAAGGTAGAAGTTTATACAGGTTGTAATGTAGTATAGATTATGTAGGTGGTATTAGTAGTGCATACACTACTGCAGGCGGTGGTGTGTACAATTAAGGGTGTAGAGCAGGCGTTAGGTAGAGTGGCATGTATTATTTGTACAGTAATTAGTGTAGTGCTAGCTAAAGCATAAGAGCAGGTAATACTAGTACATTTAGTGTTAATAGCAGCATTATGTTTAGTCTGCTTCTATGCAGAGCCTTATATAGTAATAAAAGTTACATATAAAGCCTTTTTAGTGTAATTGCTTTTTTTATGCTATATTATATAGCTTCTAAGCTTAGGTACTTTTAGTGCTTAGCTATAGTGTAATTCTTTTATCTTTTAGCACTTATATAAGCTCTTTTTTAAATGTGCAGCTAAGTGCTAAGAAGTTTTATAGTATTTATTTTTTAAAATCTTCTATATATAAACTTAGAAAAGTAGCGCCCTTTTAAGTTGTTATATGTAAATTAGTAATTATATAACTTATATATAATTAAGTCTATAAGCTTATTAGAGCCTTTAATATGTTAATCTTATTATTCTAGTACTCTAGGCTAGTCTTGTTCTATAGTGTTGCCTCTAATATCCTTATGTTTTTTATAAGTTATTTATATAATAGGAATTATTCTTTATTTTTTCTATTATTACACAAAGTTATTAGTTACTAATAAGATTTTATTATAACAGTATAGTTAATTACTTTTCTAGTAGATTACACAGGTACTGCTGTTATCTAGCTGCTAGGTTGTGCAGCTTTAATAGCTTTAGTGTGCGCCTTACACTATCTTCTTTTTACTTTATACAGTAGCAGAGCTTACTATATAATGTAAAGAATTAATTTACTATCTTAAGAGATAAGTAACTAAATAAAGTACTTTATAAAGTGTAAGTGCTTTATTATTACTCTTTCTAAAAAATAAGTAATAAAATAAAGTGCCTTATAAGGCGTAGAGTTAATTACTTGTGCAGTAGATTATATAGGTACTGCTGTTGTCTAGCTACTAGGTTATGCAGCTTTAATAGCTTTTAGTGTGCGTTTTGCACTATCTCCTCCTTACTTTGTACAGTAGCAGAGCTTACTGTATAATGTAAAGGATTAATGTGCTATTATCTAGCTGCTAGGTTGTGTAGCTTTAGTAGCTTTAGTATGTGTTTTACACTATTTTCTTCTTACTTTATATAGTAGTAAAGCTTACTATATAATGTAAAGGATTAATCTACTATCTAAAAAAATAAGTAACTAAATAAAGTACTTTATAAAGTATAAGTGCTCTATTATTACTCTTTCTAGAGGATAAGTAACAAAATAAAGTACCTTATAAAGTGTAAGTACTTTATTATTACTCTTGCTAATTTATAGTTAATTAAATTAACTACTAATTAGTGTTAAATAGGCTCTAACAGCTAGCTGCTTATAGTATAAGCACTTAAGTAGTAAGAGTAAGAGTAGTGTATAGTGTGCACAGTGTATAAGGTAGGTAAAGTAAGGGTAACATGTTTCTAGTTTTATTACTCTTATTTTTCTTTTATACAGAGGAAAAGGGGGATATCTAGATGTTCGCGCACAGAGGTTCGCGCACAAGCATCATGTGACATAGATACGTGGTCCTGCTCGTGCGCGATCGCTTGTATCCAGATCGTGACGCTGCTGCTGCGTACGGACACTAGCCTAAAATACTAAAATAATAAAATTAAAATATAAAAAGCTTTAATAAGCTTATAAATTTAATTATATATAAATTATATAATTACTAATCTATATATAATAACCTAAAAAAGTGCTACTTTTTTAAGTTTATATATAAAAAATTTTAAAAAATAAATACTATTGTTAAATAGGCTCTAACAGCTAGCTGCTTATAGTATAAGCGCTTAAGTAGCAAGAGTAAGAGTGGTGTACAGTGTGCACAGCGTACAAGGTAGGTAAGGTAAAGGCAACATGTTTCTAGTTTTATTGCTTTTATCTTTCCTTTGTATAAAAAAAAAGGGGATATTTAAATGTTTACACATAAAGGTTTACGCATAAGCATTATGTAACATAGATATGTAATCCTGCTTATAGGCAATTGCTTATATCTAAGCTGCAACACTGCTACTGTGTACAGACACTAGCAACTTTCTATTTTTGTCTAAAAAGTTGCCTTCTATGGAGACAGGACGAGCCGTCTTCGCTTTACAGCCACTCGAGGTAGCGCAGCCTCATCATACGACTTGATACTAAGCACAATCATCACGCCGTTCCTTTCACTCTTTCTTATAAGCCCCTCTCCTTGCACTCCTTGTCATATGCTTTCACGTCCTTCATCTTCGTTTCAACCAACTCTTCCATCTCCCTCTGCTGTTCCTCATCGAGCACATCATCTCCTTCTCGATGAAGCGCACCCCAGTAAATATCATCTACATCTAGGCTCTTCCTAATCCCGTAATCGAACCAAAACCGACCACTCTTCCAGGATTCTCGCATCTGAGTCGAAAGTTTGGGTTCTGTCGGTAGCGATCTCGCCTCCACTCGCTCCAAGGCGCGAAGGAACTGCTCCAATCTGGGTTCGTAGCGAGCCAGAAACTTTTCCATGCTATGATTTTCCAGCCACGTGTCTGGTCCTTTCAATATGAGCCACCACGGTGGATCATGAGAGAATTGTGCTGGCATCGCATGCGTGAATTCCCAGTCTAGTATTGCATGGACTTTAAGAGTTTCTGGGTCGGCAAGCATGTTTGAAGGCTGCAAGTCGTCGCAGAAGAGTTTGAAAGGACCGTTGTTGTCCATGCAATATTTCGGAATGAGCTGTCGGAACCGGTGGCGTGCAATGTACCTCCTCTTGGCATTTTCTGGACCACTTGCAAGATTACGTTGTATGCGAAGGTGAGTAAGGTTTTCATCGGATTGGTATTCGAGGTACTCTCTAGTGGTCCGGAACGGCGCGGTGGGAAAAGTGTCCACAGGATAATTTGAGACGGTCACCGCCATTTCGTTCATATTGTAAGTAAACGGCCTCTCAGTTGCCAGCCACTTATTCGTGTCCGAGTTCTTAGCTATGGCTCCAATGGCGTCGAAGCCCAGCCGAGAAAGTTCAATCATAAATTCCGCCAGCTGTTCGTAGACGTAGTCCAGTTTGGCATCGTCTATATCATCCCTCAGAATGACCTCGTCCTCCTCAGACTGGACGGGCTGCTTCAAGAGGGTTGTGAGCGAAGTACCATCGATACGATCCATGATAATAAAGGGACCAAGATTTCTGGGACTTTCGTTCGTCAAACCCCAGCTGGTTACGCGAGGTACGGGGAGTTTCGTCTTTTCTCTCAAATATTCTAAGACTTGGACCTCGCTCTTTACCTTCTCCTCTCGTCGAGTGGTGAATGTGTGGCCTGGTTTTGGGAACCGGATGATGGCCTTTGGTCCTCCATCGTTAAAGCGGACGGAGATACAGAAGTTGAAGGAGCCCCTCAGATACCCATCAAATTCCCCTTCAGGACATCCTGGACGGCGGCTCGATACGAAGGCTACAATTTCTTCCTTCGCGCTAAGAACCTTAACCAACCAAGCTCTGCACTCGTCGTCGGCCTCGACCTCTGCGATTTCGTCGTACGCAGTCATTGGGGAAAACGCCAACAGCTCTAGAAGGGGTAATGCAGATAGTAGATGATTTGGGATGAGATCTGTTGGTATGTGGTGGCTCGCTTTAGAACGCAAGCACTGCAGGTTGGGGACTTTTTATCTCAGCAAGCTCAGACGGGATGGGGAGAGAGCCTCGACAGGGGCAAGCCCCTGCTAGTAGCCTTAGTGGCGCAAGCCCCATCTCTCTAGCGAATAAGGGTGTAAGAAAGGCTTTCTCTCCCTAGCTGTCTAAGGGACTTTTGTAATTTTTTAGGTGATATTGTGGTTCTAAACCTCCTCTACTATGCACTAGCTTAACTAAGAATTACTGTAGCTCTACTACTTTTTGTCTAAACTAGGTTAGATTTTAATAGGTAATAGAGATGTCAGATTTGCGCACCTACTGTCAAGACAGGAGGAACGCTTGACGAAAGCTGCTACATAGTACGAGCAATAAGCTTGAACAGTATGTTGCTGCAAATTGCAGCATTTTGCAGCATTTTGCAGGCTAGTCGCGCATAGGGCAAGTGCGCAAGGGACTTAGATTAGCAAAACAAAAAGCTAAGCAACACAAGTAGAGCAGAAAAAGAATTAATAAATAAACATAATTAATATAATTAATTAATTATCTTATATATTATATCTAAACCTATTATCTATCTTAGAAAGCCTAGAAATAGTGCTTTAATCTAATAATTAAGAGCCTTAGTGCCTCTATTAATACAAAATAGCCACCCAGCCTCCTTGAGACGCGACAGTCGTCCTTTAAGACCACACTGACTACAGAGCCTGGATGATGCAGCTGCAATTAAGATGTGTAGCGCACAGCATCTGGCCGCAAGTAGATCCTAAGTTAACTATCTAAATAATCTTTAAACTAAGAGCTTTAAAGATGCTGCTAATAGCTAAGTTTTTACTAGCCTTTAATGTTAAAACGCCTACGCACCTAAATAAGCTATTAATAAGTAGTGTTAGAGCCTTTAAAAAAGCTATTAAATACTATAAGATTAAAGCTAATAAGTATAAAAGTAATAGACATAATTATAAAAAAGAGTAATTAAGCTTTTAATAAATTATTATTTTTATCTAGTTAATAGTTAGCCTGCATTTATAGTGTACATGCTGTTCCCTAGATTAACTACTTAGATAGTAGATTATAAACTTTAAAGCTATAGTAAGTGTTAATAACTAATTTAAATAAGAACATGTATGTAACTAATATAATGCATCTCTAAAGCTGCTAAAAAATGTAAGCATATAGAACCTGTAGCTAGCAGAGTATAATTACGCTGCTATAAAAGCAGAGACATAAAATGTTCTAAAAACAACATAGTTTAATGCTATAGCAAAGGACTTTCTAACTACTATAAATAAAGTTGCCCCTTATTAGTCTACAACTTTTTAAAAAAGTAGATAGTTTACACTAAATATAAATTAAAAAAAAATAATAAAGTGCTTTTAAAAATATATAATGTTAAATTATTTAATATATATAAGAAAGTATAAAGCTACTTTTATAACAAATAACTTATTATACCTTACTAAAAGTAAAAAGACTACTTAAAGCATAAATAAAAACGCCTGTAGTGTAAAAGTTATAACATTAAGAAAATAAAGTAAACCTTAACATTAACATTATTAAGAAAATAATAAAAAGTTATTTTTAAGCTAGAAACTTACTAAAATAAAAGGCACTAAATGTTTTACATGCAGACATATCTATGCACTAAAGGACTACTTTTATGTCTATCTAGACAGAGCACTAGACTAGTAAATGCTAAATAAAAGAGTTAAAAAGCTTATAGCATTAAAGTGTAAGCATAACTTAGAATTTTAAGGCTTACTAAAAAGGCAGTGTAGACATAATTTAAAAATACTAATTCTAAAGAGTTTACATATACTTATACTAAAGATATAAAAAGACTAACTTAAAAGCTAAAAAGTATTAAAAGTTAAGGTAGCTGCATTGCTAGCTATAGTTAATTTAAACTAGAATAAATATTTACTAAAAAAATTATTTATTCTTAACTTAAGCTTAATATGCTATATTATAAATAATCTTAATTAGATCTATAACTATTATTTACTAACACTAAAAGACTTTATTTAGTTTAGAAACTCTTATATATAGATTTAAAGCTATAAATTAATTACACTAAGCTTAAAAAGTAAGCATAGAACATATAGTTAAGTATATAGTCTTGTACTACATAACGCTGCACTGTGTCTAGACTTGCTGTGCAACCTAGTCTTGTTCTGCCTACTATAATAAAAAGGAATCTAGTAGAACATATAAGTAAAGCTAACTACTTTAAAGGCTCTAAATAAAATAATAATTAAAGATCTTATAAAAATCTATAGCTAATAAGTGTTAGAGTACTATTTACTATAAAAAAGCTTATATTATACACACATAATTAACATAAGAACTAAACATAGTTTATAAAAAGCATTAGTAAAGCTATAGCATAAGCGTCTAAGACACTCTAGACTAGCTATACTTTAACACCTTATATAGTAAGCTAAGAAAGTGTAAATTAAAGAAATTATAATAGTCTAATGTAACTTATATAGCAGAGCTAAGATATAATAATAAATTAGCTATACACTATAAATTAGTAATAGTAGACTTAGTAAAAGACTGTTAATTAATTTCTATACATATAAAGCATAAAGTATTATAAAAAAGTAAAGTTAAATGCTAATTACTAATAAGTATTTTAGCCTCTAGTAAGACTTTTACTTTAAAGATAATAAGCTTACTAAATTAATTATTAAAGCTTTTATAATCTTTATTTTTTTTTTAAAGAACTATTATAACATTACTATAAAAGTTATTAAAGCTAATAATAAGATTATAATAGTAAAACTAGAGGTAGAACACTAGCTAGTATTACATAAAATAACTATTAAGCCTTTAGCACTAGATACATAAGCCTAGAACAGAGAAGCTAAACACTTAAAGAGTGTAAATAAAAAGAAATTATAAGCTATGCAACTAGATGCTAACCTACTATAAAATGTATAGCTATACATTACTAGAGCTAGCGTATACCTATATAATTAGACGCTAAACTATGCTAATAACTAGAAGACACTATATAAGATCTTTTTTACATAAGTAGCTTTAAATAATAAAGTTATTATATTAATTTAAAAGCTAAGCTTTATACATTTAAAAGCTTATAGCTATAAAGCATTTATAATAACTAATAACACACATTAGAATAAATCTAAGCTATAAAGGCTAGACTTAAAGGTGTAGATTAGATATCTAGTTAAGTACTAATTATTAAACATTTACTATATATAGATACTACTACTAGCAAAAGTAATCTATACATGTAATATTATTTTTAATAAACACTTAATTTTTAGTAGTAAGCCTAAAGACTTAATAAATAACCTTATATACAACATAGTAAAGAAAATTACTATATATATTAAAATAATTAAGCTTTTAACACCTAGTTATTAGCTAAAAATAAAGTTATTTTATAAAAATAACACTATAAATAATATATTAAATTTTAATAAAGTAGACCTACTAAGCTACTATTAAGAAAAAAAGATTAGAGATAACTATCTATTTTCTCTAAATACTCTGCTACTTGTAGCATTACTTATATAGTTAATAGCTAGAGTAGTACTAAAGCTAAGCTAAATAAAGTTATTAAAAACTATACTATAAGCTATAGCTTTTATAGCTAGCATAAAATCTAAAAGTGTAAAAAAGCATAGTAGTAAGACACTAAATAAAGCAGCATTAATAAAAATGCTATTTTAAAAAAAGACACTTTATAAAAGCTAGCTACTACTTTTACTATTAACTTAAAAGTAACTAGAAGAGTACTCTTTATATAAAATGTTTAAGGCAGTAGAAAGAACACACTTAGATAGTTATTAAATAATAAAATTTTAGACAAAGGTCTAAATAAAGCTAATTAAGGTAGCTAGACAGCAGATTTTAAATTGTATGTAGGTGTACACCTACAAGCTTAACAAGCACTATAGATTATAAAGATGTAAGGTGTAACTAGTAGTCTATAGTAATTAATAAAGAAACATTACTATATAAGATACCTACACTACTACTCTAGTAAAACGCTTATTTTAAATGCTAATAGTAATATTTACACGCTTTAACTTAAAGCTTAAATAATATAACATAACTAACATGTTTATACATGTAGCAATTAACTGCAATATCTACATATAGATGCTAAAAGGCTATTAGAAACTAGGTATAATACTAAAGCTTTAAAAAGCACTATATAGCTTATAAATTTCTTTTTTACTTTAGTAACACTATTTTATAATAACTTTTAAAGGCCTTAGGTTCTTAGCTGTTCTATATAAACTCTACTATATAACTAAAGCTAAAATATTTGTCTTTTTTTATGTAAATAACTTTATTATTGCGTATAAAAAAGGCTCTAAAGTAGATACACAGCATGTAGTAAACTAGTTATAAGAGAAGTATACTCTAATAAAAAGCAAAGACTTATAATAGTTTCTAAAAGTTAAAATTATTAAAGATTAATAGTAATAAATAATTTAGCTATTATAGGCTTTATATATTAATAAGATAGCTAGGCTAGCTAACAAAAAGAACCTACAGCACACTACACCTATAAGTAGGATTAAACTTATGCTGTAATCTAGTTTTACAACTTTATTAAAAGTAAATTAATATTAGTAGAAGATTAAATTTTTACTCTTTATAGTAGTTACTATAAAACTAGACATTATCTTTGCTACATTACGCCTTGCATAGTTTCTTACAAATCCTGCATCTAACTATTAGGATGCAGCTAATTAAGTTATCCTATACCTACATGCAACACAGACGTACGCACTTTAATTAGGAGGAGAAGACTACTTTATAGTAGCAAGTAATGCATTATTTATAGATAATACACTAAATAAAAAAAGCTTTTAAGGCTATGTTATTTAACTATTTAGCAGATAAATTGCATAGTAAGTAAATAAATAAGATACAGTTATAATATTAATAATAAAAGTAAAATTACTTGCACTATTCTAAGTTACTAAAGAAGCTATGTTTATAAAAATACTTTTTAATAAACTATAGGTTAAGCTGCTTAATTTAACTATTATAATTTAGTGTAATAATAAGTAGATAATCTAACTAGTAAATAAAAAGATATTTTAACTTTAAACTAAGCTTTAACATGTTAACATTTATAACTACTAGCTCTAATAGGAAGTCTTTTAATAAATAATTAAAGTTGTCTATGTCCTCTCTAGTAAAATGCTTATAGATAGACTTACTAAAGCGCTTTTAGTTAGTAAATAGCTAGGCTTTCTTTAGCAAATTTAGCTAGTTAATGTTAGGGAGAGAATAGTTAGTTAGAAAGCAGATATAGAAGAGATTAAAGTAAGAATAGAAGCTCTAAAAGCATACTAAGGTTGCGCAATTAAGAACTAGCTTAAAGCATGTCTAAGCTAAAAGGGTGTGTTAGATTTGCGCACCTACTATTAAGACAGGAGGAACGCTTAATAAAAGCTGCTACATAGTACAAGTAATAAGCTTAAACAGTATGTTGCTGCAAATTGCAGCATTTTGCAGGCTAGTTGCGCATAGAGCAAGTGCGCGAGGGACTTAGATCAGCAAAACAAAAAGCTAAGCAACATAAGTAGAGCAGAAAAAGGATTAATAAATAAACACAATTAATACAATTAATCAATCATCCCATACATCATATCCAAACCCATCATCCATCTCAGGAAGCCCAGAAACAGTGCTTCAATCTGACAAGAGACAGTCTCTAGCTATATCCTAACGTTTTTATAACCTAATTCTAACAAGATTTAGCAGAGTATGGCGCTATTAAGTCCTGCGCAGAACATTTTAATAACCCCATAACTACACCTTAATGCAACTTCTTAACTACATAATATATTATCTTTAGAATTTAAAACCTATCTAAAACAAGCTTTATTAGGGAGCCTGCAAAATTTTAGAAGATCTAGGCCGCTAGTTGTCAAGCTAGATAGTAGGCTAGGGACATCGCGATCGCTCTCATGTCTGCAGCTCAACTAGCTGTTGTCTGAGGACTCTAAGAATCTAGGAGCTGTCTTAGACTAGCTTGTTACAATCCTTGCTTCTTGGAAGCACGCGGGTCAATGATATCCCTGGGATTAGGGCGGAGTATAAGGGGCCGACGGTAGGGTGTACAGTCCTACGTAATGGCTAATGGGCGCAATGGAGTAGTGTAGGGTGACCGGATCGTGGTTTGTCCCTGTAACGGCAGTATGGAGGCCGGGTTAAACAGTCCTGTGTGTTGGACAGAATTAGAGGTATATATGTTGCAAGATATACAAATAGTATTACAGCTCTTTGTAAAGCTAAACGCTACTTAGTCTATGTAAAGAATAAACTAAACGTTAAACACGCCTCCTAAAGGTTTGTCTAAGCTGAAACTATATACATGTCTAGTGGTGCCAAGAACGAGTTAGTGCGAGTTCCCTCAAGCTCCTACTACTGTCCTCTGGTGGGCTCGTCCGAACTCGTGCCGGCTCCTTAGCTCGTTCCCTTACTGGACAATACATTCTTCCGTAATCCTGGGCAGCTGCGCTGCCTCCGCGTCTTCCGATTGGTCCGTAAACGACCTCTGTCCCAACCTGGCTAGATTGTGGAGCACTTCCGGTGGAGTTACGTCGGTCCAACCATAGACCGTAACATAGCTCTATTAGGGAGCCTGCAAAATTTTAGGAGATCTAGGCCGCTAGTTGTCAAGCTGGATAGTAGGCTAGGGACATCGCGATTGCTCTTATGTCTGCAGCTTAACCAGCTGTTGTCTTAGGACTCTAAGAATCTAGGAGCTGTCTTAGACTAGCTCTGTTAGGGATCCTGTAAAATCCTAGGGAATTTAGTCTACTAGTTGTTAAGTTCTAGTTAGGAGGGCAATACTATTAATCTAAAATTAGAGTATAGATAAATTAAAGTTCTGCGCACGTTTAGATTTTTCTCTACTAGTTAATAATAGTTAAAATTGTAACGGCGCAGGCAAGACAATGGGTCCGAAGGCGGTATGAATCCACTCAGAGGCATATGGGAGTGCGTGGGGACTCAGAGACCTGGGAATACCAATGACACCTATAGGCCTTGTACGTAGGATATCAGAAAACTACCGAGCTAGCTACGGGGGCGAGGTGCGACTAAATACATGAGGGAATAGGGGTAACAGCAGGGGGCCGGGCAGAGTCGAGTCAGGGTCGAGCCAGGGTCGGAGCCGATACGGAGACCCTTCGGATAGATTCCGGGCGACCCGAGATGGAACGATTCATGAGAATCGTTACACTACCCCCC